TCGTGGGGAGCCTGGAGGGCTTGGGGCTGACCAGCTGGCCCCCACCCCCACCCCGGTGCTGTGACCACTGACCATGGCTGCCTTGCTTCCTTTGTGTCTTAATTGCAGGCTGAGTCGCTGCAAGGGCTTTGGGAAACTCTTGATACCAAAAATGGCAAGTGGGGCAGGACAGGGGGCCCTTCTCCCTCCTCGGAGAGGGGCTCCTGCCCCACACGCCTGCCTCTCTGCTCCCTTCCCCGGTCATTCCACATTGGGGCCACCCGGCTTCCCTGGCCGTCATGGCTGCTGGAGAGGAGGGAGGGGGAGGGCTATGGATGATGATGATGATGATGCCGTGGGGCTGTGAGGGGTTTGCAAAGTTTCTGTCCTCAATAAAGGTCCAACTTGCACTCAGCTCTTCTCCTGGCATCTCTTGGGCGTGGGTGGGGAGCATGCCAAACAATGGGGGGGGGAGCAAGGAGGAGCCTTGTGGGGTCTCGGAAAGCCCCCACCCCACCCCTCCCACACCCTTTTCTTTCCTCAGGACCAAGGTGTGAACAGGATCCCGAGAAGGATGTCCCTTCGGAAGTTGAATCTGTGCCCCCTCCCTCCACGCATGCACACGCACACATGCAGTGCTCGAGAGACCCTCCTCGCCCTCTGCAGCCTCTTTTTTTTGGGGGGGGGAGGAGGAGGAGGCACTGCTGGAGAGCCCCATGGTTGAGGAGGTCTCCAGGCTGCAGAGCCAGAGGTTCGGAGTTCGGTTCCCGGCTGCGCTTGCTTGACAAGGTCCGGGCAGAATGATCCAGGGAAGTCCCCTCCCGGCTCTGCAGTTCTCAAGCGTCTTGGCCCCCTCGAGGTGCCTGGGCCTTCCTCTCAAGGAACGGCACGTGGACCAAGAGGTTCTGTGGGCAGTCGAGGTGGTGGGCCCCTGGGGGGGGGCTCTGTGGCACATGCAGCCACCTCTCCCTCCCCCCCCCCGAAACGAGGCAGGGGCAGAGGAGCTGCTCCCCAAAGATGCCCTGGTGGAGGGCAGGGTTATTGCGCCTTCCACAGCACCCACTTTTGAATGGTGACCGAATAGCCCTGGCAGAGGTGCCTCCCTCCCAGCCTGCCTCTGATCATGGGGTGCTGGTGCAGAAGAGCTCCCCGGGGTGGGGTGGGCTGGTCTGGTCTGGTCTGGCTGGACCCTTGCCCTGTCTCCCTCCATGCAGCTAAGACACTGCCCTATAGCAGGCTCACTACATTCCCCCCCCACACACATACACACACCGGAGGCAATCCGTGCCTGTCCTTTCTGGTCCAGCAGTGGGGCACTTAGGTGACTGTTGGGGGGGGGAGAGAAGCTTCACACCCCCTGCTACCCCGGTGCTTTGGGGCCATCTGGAACTGATCCTGTGGGGTCACACAAGAGGGTTCGCTGTCTGGGAGTCCCAGGAACAGGGCAGGAAGGAGGCCCCGATCACCTCCACGTTCTCTCCTCCTCCACGGAGGCAAACTTTGCTCCCCCCCCCTGCCCAGGACCATGTCTTCCTAGTCAGGTTAGCATCCGCATTTTATCCTCTCCCAACCAGAGACGCTTCCAACAATTGGAAGGGATCAACCAGGCATCAAGTGTCTCAGAAAAGCCAGGATTTTATTGTTGTTGTTGTTTTGGTGTTGTTTCTTTTTTCTTTTCTTTTTGAGCCCAACATGTTCTGGTCCTGTGCTCCTTTCATCGCCTTCATTGGAGGCCAAAATGAAATAACTAAAACACATTTAACATGTAGCTAAAACATCAAGCCACCTTAAAATACATTGTTTTGGAGGGTAAAGCCATAAACATAAAGAGTAATTGAAAGATAAAGTACTTAAACACACAGAGAAAAAGTACAGTATGTTTGTGTATGTGTACACATACACACACACACACACATGTGCGCGCACGCACATGTGCACACAAACCCAGAGTAGCTGACAGGCAGAGGTTCCTCTTCGCTGGCAAACTCGTGCTGGGCCCTGGCGTTTCTTCCTCCATCCGTGGAGAAGCTGCCTCGTCAAAGTCTCCTCGTTGGTTCAGATGCTATTATTACCTTATGGGCAAAAATAGTGTCCCTGCGTCATGAGAACTGGCGTTATTTTTAACTGGTGCAGCCCTCCCCACCCCACCCCCACCCCGCACGCTCTGGAAGGGTAAACACTTTTAGCGGTTCCCTTTCTTGTGAGCACTGGTGGCCACCCAAAAGCAGAAAGGGGCCCAGGCCACCGTGTGTGCCCGGAGCACTCTGACCGCCCTCCACAGGGCAGAGGTGAGGGGTGGGCTGCCGGGGACAGGGTCGGCAGCACATTGCCGTGGGCCTCAGAAGGGGGGGGGTCAGGTCTCCCGTTCAAATTCTGGCTTGGCTTGAGGATCCTTCGCATGGCACACCCACTCTGCCATCCTTCCAGTTTTGTTCAGGAAGGTAAAATCATCTGCCCTGCACAGAAGTGGGGCGAGGGGGCCTTCTGAGGCTGAGAATAGAATTTCTGCCCCCCCCCTCCCCAGTATGCTGGCACAGAGTTGTGCACGGTCCAACCAACCCTGTCAAAGATCCCGTGCATGCAAACTAGCGCTCTGGTTTCAGGTCAGTTGCCCAGAACTGGGGAGGGCTGTGCCCGTCCCCACCTCTCACCTCTGCTCCGCATGGAATAGGAGGAAGAAAGGAAAGAGACAGGCAGCTCCACACTGCGCCTGGAAGGA